ATGCCAGTGACGGTGACCCTCACCTGGCTGCGTAACCGTGGATGGGACACTGGCTGTCCGTTTGCTACCATACGACGCATGTGTCCACACAGGTAGACTACAGTACAATGACTCGTCATCACCATCACACACAGAGATAAAATCATGTAGGTCCTCACCACATACGCCATAATGTCATTCGGCATCTTCGATTCAGATTGTAAATTAATTGTGTCATTATATACCATGAAATTGTAACTGTAGCCATCAAAAATGTATAATTCCCTAAAGTACGATATTGTACTTCCATGACATCACACACAACAAAAATTCTCTCAGCAAGCCAAATGCAGTAGATGACCGACTTGATATTCTTCTTAATCCAGATGGAGAGAGCTCTCTGCGCAGGTACAATCTGGGTGTAGTAGAAGAAGTTCAGCCAAACAGATGAGGTCATACTAGTGGCCACACTAGATATATACAACAAATATAAGGCTTTTCTAAAATACAACATGACATATTTTAATTCAGTGAAGGACAACACAGTAGCTGACACCAGGCATGTTATTGTACAGCATGTCAAGGCCCACAGGAGAAGCTTCAGAGGTTGTCTGACCTTTTCTCCGTTTAGTGGACAGACCATGCAGAAGATGTAAAACGCATTAGCCACGATGTTGAAAGTAGCAATAGGCCTGTTGATCAGGTCACAGAGTAGATATTCCATCCTTATGTTTTGTAACTCTGATGAAGATCCCGTTGTGTTGAAACGCTTGTCTAGAGATCCGTCAGTGTGCAAGTCCTTTATTCACTCTGAAGTGTTCAGTTCGTATCCTGAGAAGCACCTGATGCAGCTGCACATTGTTGGGAGATGCACATAGATCAGTAAATTCCTCCTTTGTGGTCCTCTGACAGAGGAAACCTGTAAGGTACTCCAACTCTGAGCATAGTAGCTTCGCAGGTATTTGCATCACATGCAAATTGGAATATTAAAATTACCATTAAATTGCAAAAACAAGTAGGAATACAGTAGTTTCTTGATAATTTGGTGACAACAACTCGGAGGCCCAATGCTTAAAATGAAATAAATGATTATAACTAAAAGCAAACATTCAGAACGCCCTTTAAGATTTATTTTACTTTACCTCTTGTAAGGATTTATAAGTACAAGTATCTTAGTACTTCAATATTATTTTATATTTCCCACAGTTTATTATAATATATTTGTAGTAATGTAATCATATGCTCTATACATTTAGACATAGGTTTGCATTAACATTTCAGGAAGAACCAGTGATTATAAAGCATACGATAATTACTTACACTTATTATTAATTATAGAATCCTTTATAATGAGCCATGCATATTTTTATAAAATACTGAATGAATTATGAGTTTGCATAATTGTGCTGTAAGCTAAATATGACAATTAATATGTTTATGATGCATTATAGATCTGAGCATCATTGAAAGTGTTACTGATTTCACTGTGAAGCTATGGAGCAATAGGAGACAGATTTAGAAAAAGGGAAAGGTCACAATCTGAGGTCTTTATAGGTTTAACTCCTAAAACACAAGATTCTACCTCCCATGATGCAACTCATAAGGGTGTTTCATAAGACAACCTATTGATGTCAAAAGGGATATTTTTTCCAACTTGAAAAGCTTCTTCTATGGCTTGAAAATGTATCATGTGTGCACAAATTAGGTAGTGTCCCTCCTTACGTGGTAGTTCAACATCTTGTCTGAAAGTCTGAGTTCTCCTTTAATGTTGAAGTCACACAAAATGCTTTTTTAAACACTGTCACATCTGCTTCTACTCACACTTCAATTTCTGTTTAATCAGAGGCTTGGTACAATAATGTGTTTACATACAATCATTGCATGTGGATATTATCTGTTGCTTGTCAAAGCATGAAGTGAACCTCTTCTGATACTGCTTTGTCCATAATACAACCCACTAGAGTTGCGTTAAAAGGGACATTTACGTAATTATGTTGCTATTCCATTCATCAATTGAAACATTACACTGTATTCAATGATTCCTAGCAACACTACCATCGCAAACATCTAATAATCACACTTACATTCGGACATCAACAGTTATAGTTGCTATTTCAACTGATGTCAACTGGCTAGAGTGCGATTTCACATCATTTGTGTTCATGCCAACACCACACATTGATGTGATTGCCTTCCAGGCATTGGCTACCTTTTGCCTGAATATAGCCTGACCAATGCCCAAGTTCACTGTGGTGCCGGATATGTATATCGTGGAGACTGTTAAATCTATCCAGGCACTGAAGTAAAAATGTGGGGATAAGTTGGAGGTGAAAGAATAAAGGAAAGTGAAAGTGGCAAAGAGTAAAAAAAGGACTCCTTGAATGATCCCAGTGATGGTGACCCTTATCTGACTTTTAATTTTCATAGTGGCGGAGTAGATGTTGCCCTGTGTCACTGTTTTTATGTGTCTATGCAAGTAGTGGGCTGTGGAAAAGCTAGAAACCGAGATAATACATAGACATAACAGGGTATGCACTTGTACAATGATGAAACAAGCAGTGACTGCCTGGAGAAGTCCATCATTCCAATATTCAGTCAATGTACCGTTGACACGAGTTATGGTGTGAATAAATGTACCTGCTGTAGAAATGACACTATAAAACAAGAAAATGATCCCGTCAAAAAGCAAAACCATGTAAATGAGAATCTTAATGTTCCTCTTTACCCAGATCAGAAAAGCTCGCTGTAGAGGGACAATCTGGATATAGTAATAAAAGTTCAGCAACACCGAACATGCCATGCTATTGCTCATATAGCACTCCACAACCCCCCACGCCACGATAAACACTTCAACATGATTCTCTGTATGTAATAACCAATACAGAAGGGCCAGAGAGACACAATAAGTAATAGAGCACCAGACAAGGACTACCAGAAGCATCTTTAAAGGCTGCTTGAGTCTTTGGGTTTTGCAGAAGATCAAGCAAGATGCATAGAAGATGTTCGCAGTGAGGCTGATGAGGATGAGAGGAACATTGATTAAAAGAAAAGCCTGCTCACCCAAACCAATCATTTGACGGTCCATTGCTGGTTTAGAAAGGTCAAAAAATCAAACGAAGTTGTGCCTCTGTTTCTGTTCAGTTCTAGGGAGCCTTGCACTGTTGAGACCAACATGGAACATGGATCAGAAATGCCACATTATGTAGACAGTTTTTAATCACAGCAGTAGCACGCAGGTTTTCATATTTCAGCACTCAAAGGACCATTTCCATGTTTTTGCATGTTCTAGTCTATTTGCTACACATCACATAAAGAGTATATCACTGTTGTTTTCTATATTATTTGAACGTGTTTTCCCACATTCCTACATTCAATGATTCCTGTCTAGTGAGTAAACATCACATCTGCATTAATAATCATTGTGCATTAATGCAGAGCAGATTTTTTCACGATAATCTGCAGTGCATTACCAGGCAGCAACGCGGCAGATATGATTGTTTACTGTCATGGATCACCTACCTCACGCACGTTTAAAGCGTCTACAAATTGTTTTCCACAGTGAAGTAAATGAGAATCAGTGACTGTCTGGGAGGCACATCAAAACACATTAAACAGTCTTTAACAAAACAGAAGAAATGCAATGTGTGAGAGTGAGTTGAAGTAAATGAGCTAAAGCATGCAAAAACACTGAAATGGTCACACAATAACACTATGGGACACATTTCACTTGCAAAAGATGAGCACTTCCACACCCACCCACACACACACACACACACACACACACACACACACACACACACACACACACACACACACACACACACACACACACACACACACACACACACACACACACACACACACACACACACACACACACACACACACCCACACACCACCATGAATGCTGATGGTCAAATGGGTGCTAGGTAGCATTCTGACCGTGAGAGAAACCCATTATAACGCATCATAATTATCAGTAGAAGAGATGGCCATTCTCTGGGTGTGTGTGTGTGTGTGTGTGTGTGTGTGTGTGTGTGTGTGTGTGTGTGTGTGTGTGTGTGTGTGTGTGTGTGTGTTTGATCAAGGTGGGGCAGTTAGAAGTAGTCTCTTCTTCGTGAATCTTCACTGATGAAGGATGGGTTCCACTGGGCGGGGTAGATGCACGAATGGCGGGACCCCGGCAGGCCTGTAAACGGGTACAGGCCGTTTCTCTCCAGGTCTGAGTTACGTAGCGCAGGCTGAGGAAAAGAGCACAGAAAGGAACAATAATGTTTGAGATGTTTGTTTTGACTTATATAGTGATTTATTAGTGGTATTCAAACCCAAAAATCAAAGCCTTAACTTGAACAATGAAGACGAATGAAGGTGTGTGAGATAGAAATGAGTAGTGTTGTATGTCCACTTACAGAGTAGTAAATGTCAGTCATCTGAAGCAGGTTCTTGGTGCTGCCGTTCTCTTGCATCTCGATGGTCTCCCTGCCCCACTCCGTGGATATGCGGTTATTTTTGGGGAAGTCCGCATACGGGGACATCTGCATGTCGCCACTCTTGAAGATGATCTTGTTTATGTCGTTCTTGTCTTTCCTTGGAGATCAAACGGGTTTATAAAAGTGAAACCTTTGCCACATTCCATCAAGCTGATTCACTTCATCAAATCATTGAAAGGCAAGAAATGTGTGTTTTGGTCATTTGGGTGAACTGATGCTTAAACGATCACTTGTTTTTTAATCTGCATCTTGAAAATAAAGTAGAGAAAGGCAGATTAGTGTGTACAAAAAATAAATAATCGAATAGAAAATGTCAGTTTAGGAATAAAAAAGACGAATTGAATGCAAACCAAAACACATTTCTGTGCTAAATGAATAACAGCAACTCACTTGCAACAGACGACAATGAGAGCGATGATGAGGATGAGGAGCATAGCGCCCCCTGCAGGCGACACCACGGTTGCAATCAGCTTGTAAACTGAAATATGAAATCACAACATTTGAATGCTTATATGATTAAATCAAATGTGCGAATTGTTTACAAAGGCATCCTCTATTAAAGCTGAGTTTAAAAGCCACTTACAATTCCCACAGTTGAAACCTCCAAATCCGAACATGCACCTGTAAAGTAGACCCAGAGTCTGCAGTGAGAATTTAGATTTGAATAGTACAGAATAAGTTATCAGTACTGAAAGGAAACAATAAATCAACTTACGGAACACAGGTGTCATTTTCCAGCTTGTAGCCATCCCCACATTCTGAAACAGACATGTTTTGTTGAAAAGAAGCTCTTCACTTTTTTTTTCTTCTTAGATCCCTCTTGCTTTTCTTTTAGCATTATCCATAACCTCATTGTTATTTACTTTAACTTTGCCTGTAACTTATTTGTGCCTTTTTAACGTTTTTTAAATCAATAATATATATGTTTCTACTTATTTCATCAAAAGTCAAAGTCAACTTTATTGTCAATCTTTCAGTTTGTGTGTACAGCCAGAGAGATCGGAATTACGTTTCCAACAATCCCGAATACAAAAATACAAATATATATAAATATGTATAAAAATATGTATACCCTATACTGTATATAAACACAATCAACAGACACATGTATACATATGCACACATTAAGACATAAATAAAAGCACAACTATCAATATATACAAAATAACAGTCACTTCAATATCTTGGGAAATGTACATTAGTGCAAGATTGTCCATTGCAGCGTAAAAAGTGTCTGGTGTTGGATTTGAGTGTCTGAGTGTGTGGGAGGTGTTAAAGTCCAGTGGGGGCAAGGGGGAGAGGGAGAGAGGGGGGAGGGAGGTGAGAGAGTACAACCTCCTGACAGCCAGGTGAAAAAAAACTCTCCAAATTGTCTACATGTGTATGCAAAAATTGGTGAATAAAGCATAAACAATATTAAAGATGCGCACTCAGCTCACCTAAGCAGGACAGGTCGTCGGGGGTGTGTTTGTAGTATCCGTGGAGACACTGGCAGCTGGCCGTGCCGCTGCTGTCCGTGCAGGAGGAGCGCTCTGCGTCACACTCAGTCTTCTGGGCCACACACAGACTTTCCACTGGAACACAGAGTGGACACAACTCGTCATGACTTCTGCAACAACACAGGAATCTGCTCTCCGTCTGTCACACCAGGATGTAAGAAAACACCAAACCAGCCTCCTTGTTTCCCTCAGAATATCTTAATTCACAGTGTTGTTATATTTTCATGGTATTAGATGCTTGTATTCGCTGTTACTGTATGATTTCCTGTAGTAAAGCGTAGTGAAATATCGATTAGATTAGATTCCTTTATTGTCACTACACACAGCGAAACTCCAAGCAATCCCGATAGTGCAATCACACATAACAGACAGTATAAGTATAATTCTCACAATACAAGCTAAAACGTTTAATATATAATATATAAAGCGACTTTAAATTGGACCTATGATACATAGAATAGTGCGCTTCCAAAACAATACAACATTACCATACAAATACAAGAACAATACGGTCAAGGCAGTACAAAATGTAAACGAGTCAATAAGTAAGTTATTGCACACAGCTGTATGATGACGTTTCTGAGTGATGTAATGATGTAACTTCAGCAACTGTGTAAAGCTTTATTATGCCCTCTAGTGGCTGTAAACAAACTCACAGCTACTTATGGTAGAGAAAACAGTTAAAAGATGAGCACAGAAAAAAACAATAATGTTTATTAGAATAATTGTCAAAGTTTACCATGATAAGTGAGCTGGTGGTGCAGCACCATGCGGCAGTGGGCCAGAGAGGAGCTGCAGTTGCTGAGAGACCTCTTGATGCGGTTGTAAACCTTGGCGCTCGTCACATCGGTGGAAATGGAAAACATGTGGACAGCTGAGATATGAACCCCGTCCTCCTCTCTGTGGGGGAACAGGTCAGAGGTAGCAAAACGTCCATGTTGCATTGTTAAGTCAAAAACAATACAATTGTTTTGTCTTCCTTAGTTTTTCTTCTAATCCAGGCCTATAAATGTTAATGTTTTCATCTTGTGATTTTAGAAATTACAGAAAAAGTACAAGAATAACACGTTCAACTACGGCAAGGACTTACTTCTTAGTCAGCATTGAGCGGCTGTAACCTCGTAGGACTGACAACGAAGCATTGAGCTGAGGAGGAAAGCAGGAAGAGAGTGAGCAGCAGGTACAGTACACATAGGCCTAATGGAGATGTAATCAGAAAGAGCAGGGACACAGGGTGATGTGGACGGCCTCTCACCAGCTGGAGGATCTCTCTCTGGATCTCATGCATGGTGGCGCTCTTGAAGATAAGAGGGTCATGTGGAAGCCTGTTGACTCTGAATGTGCCCAGAAACGTCTTTGCTACGGAGGGAAAAATACTGTTGGCTTTAGGGGAAACAACTTGTGCATTATCTTTATATTCTCAAAATAGTTAGCAACTATATTGAATGTTTTTATTTATATATTCAACCGTGCAATATTGACTTATGAGTACAAAAACTGTTTGCAAGTATTCAACTTTGCAATACTCCGGCATTGATACTGTATTTCATTCTTATTTATATTGAAGTGTACATATTTTTCCACAATTGTATCTACAATTTTTTCCTGTACATTGAGGTATAATGCACATATTTTTACACGGTTGGTTCTATTTTTTTGTATACGTTTTTTTTAACATTTTTTTTTCTAGAATGTGAGCAACTATAATGTACCATATTTTTTCGTAGGGCTGTGATTCTGTTATGTATTTAGAGGGTTTTACCTCTGGTGCAGGTGCGCCCGTCCTCCAGGTCGAAGCCGAGCGGACACTCGCAGCTGAAGGACCCTCTGGTGTTCACACATCTGGAGCCGACGGGGCAGGGGTCACTCTCACACTCATCCACATCTGGAAACACAAGCACATGGACATATTACAAAACCATTTCTGAAAGGGTTCTCACTGAAACCTTGACACGTATCATAATCCTCTGCATTATTTAGATAAAGAGCATTTTCATTATGCTTTTCTGGATATTTCATGCTTGCTTAAATTGAAACACAGCAGTTCAAGTGCATGCTGCTGATAGTGTTGTGAGTAATAAGAGAGCAGCTCACCCTGGTTGCAGGTCAGTCCGGTCCATGCCTGCTGACAGTGGCAGGTGAACTGATGCCCTAAATAGCTCACACACATCCCTCCGTTCATACAAGGGTTTGACACACAAGGGTTTCCTGCAGTTCAGAAAGAACACAAAAGCCATTCAAATAGTTCAAAACAGTGTAATCATTTGACACGTACAGTTGTTTCATACTGATATTCTTTACGGCTCGTCAATCTCTTTTTATATAGATACTTTTCTATTTCTGCGATAGGTTTCCTTCTTTGCATTGATACTCAGTTTTCCAAACATATAATTAAGTAGAGACATCACTGCGGTACCATCAGCATCAAAGTCACTTTAAAGTCGAGGATTTCGAAATGCATCAACGAAAAGAAAGCACCTTCTTCAGACATTAGAGAACGGATCTTCAGTCATTTGAACAAACTAAACTGCCTTTGAATCTACCTCTAATCGTTCTAAAATAATGTCTTAACATTATCTTTAATGTTCAATGCTTTTTTGATGTCATTTCTTTTACATTCTACGTATGAGATGAGGCTTTTGAATGCCGCTTTGAATTCATACTTTATGATGTTATGATGAAAATGGTGTTGTTAAAAGCCGTTTGACTGCCTCTTTATTACAGGTGCTTGGGAGAGTGGTAGAGAAAACTTTTTTTTATGTTGTTTTGAAGATATCAAATGCCAAATTATGTGTCGTCATGTTTTTTTGTAATTCTTCTTTAAAGCACATTTGAATAATATAAGTGTTAAATTATTTTATCTACTCTGCAAATATAATGTTCAAAAACAATGGATACACATGCAAGAAAATATAATCTGGGACACATCGTGTGTGGAAACGACATGTCAAGGTTGGTCATCTGGAAATTAAGTAAGTACAAAACACTGACTTGGTGGTGTTGGTGGGGTTGGTGCCTTGGTGGGTGAAGTGGTCCCCACCAGCTGTGTTGTTCCCCCCTCTGTCTGTTTCTTTCCGGGGGTCTGCAGAGCCTCTGTACTCTTGGTGGGGGTACTGGTGGTGTAGGTGGTGGTTATGTGGCTTTGAGTCGTGGTGATTCCCGGCATGCTGGTGCTGGTTTCCATCTGCAGGGTGGTGGTGCTTGTGGGGTTATCCATCCCAGTTGAGGGCCACTGGGTTTGGCTGGGGGACACCCGGTGAGTCGGGTGAGCTGCAGAGGTCAGCAGGGCCAGGGTGGAGGAGGTGGTGAAGGGGGTAGTGAAGGGGGTAGTGGAGGGGGTAGTGTACAGGACGGTGGCCTCGGGGGGCGAATCTGTGGTAGAGCTGATGGCGGGGCTGCTGAACCTGGAGGATGAGGTTGGAGCTAGAGGAGTGGAGGTGGTGGTGGTCGAGGAGGAAGTGGCTTTAAAAGTGTCTTCCTCTATTATCTTTGGTCTGTTAAAGAAATAATAATAAGTACGTACAAATTATTTTTAATCTATCAAAAATGAGGACGTGATTGCTCATTTCAAACAAAAGAAGGCTTCAGTCAGCGGGGGGTGCTAGAGTTGATGTTTCAAACTTTCAATCAGTAAGGTACTTTGTTGAGTAGCAAAATATGTTTTTGCTTTAAATTATCATTAAGAGTTAAAATGATTCACTGCAAGATGCAAGGTACTCAAATGATATGCGTTTAGATTGGTTCCCTATAAGACTTGCTTTCACTTTGCAATTCTGTCTGCCATTCAACATGGTATAATCTCCTCGAAGATAAGTCTCAATTAACCAGTGGCGAACCGTGTCTATCACAACTGGACCTTCTGTAGACACACAAACCCCTTGCTGCCGCCCCCCCGGCGTTATAATGTCCGTCTTTTCACTGAATTGTCGTCTTCAAAAAGGGTACTCACAACAATTCCGCAACAACTTCATCTTCGCCTGTTGTACTTGTCATTTCAACGTTAAAAACAATAAAATGGCATGAACTGCTTCGTCGCATTTATCTAGGTCCTCTGTCTCGAGCCAGTTAACTAGCGGGCCTTCTCGAGTACCCTGGAACCGAGGGGAACTCTGAAAGCCCATTGCTACATTGTTGGCTACAAATCAATATATGATTGGTTGATCAAACTGTCAGTCCAAACGTACGCTCTCATTCAGTGCAACGGCCAGGGAATTCGATCAAGGATGTAATACCTTGGTTGAAGGATATTCAACCCAGAGACCCAGAACAAGATCTGATTGGTTGCTTTCTTTTCTAACACAAAACCACTGAAATGCGCAGTGCATGGTCCGAGAAGGACAAACAAATCAACGTAACACTGTAATATTACAGATCAACAACACAGATACAATTCTCATTTATTCATTGTATATACATTTTATTACATTTTATTTATATAATTAAATCGATTTTTTGTTTGTTTTATCTGAGTGTTCCAGGGTATTCTCTGAATACCTCAAAGGCCCTGACGGTTCGCCACTGCAATTAACGTTGTGGATCAAAAAGAGCAGTGTGTTGTGTGCGGTGTCTTTAACTCTTTTCGAACAATAGTAGCTCAAAAGGTTGCTAGAAGTCTGTATTTGTATTTGTATATTGGTGATACTATCACACTGCAACTAGTCTAAGCAGCATTCGGAATGAATTAGAAAATAATATATGTATGAGTTATTTTATTGCTCTTTCCTAGATGTTCTGAAAAACATATACTATTGTTTGATAAATAATTATAAAAACGTACCTGTCTGCAACAGTACCAGCTGTGGTGGTGAGGAAGGCATCAGTAACCAACACTGGAGTGTCTGTTAGCGGACGGTCCACTTCCGATGTTCCACTGCTGACAGTAGGGGGTGCTATGGTCAGGCCCACGTCCCCGAGGTCCTCCCTGGTGTGGGCTGAAGCCCCCTCAGTGCCCTCCTGGTTCTGGGTGCTGGAGCTGTGCCCCCCGCTGGAGGACTCAGTGGAGGCGGTCACACTGAAGCCCCGCCCCTGCTCTGTCCAGGAGACGTTTACAGGACCTCCTGCAGGCGAGGTGACGGATGGTGAGGAAGACACGGACACTTCAGATCTCTCAGTGCTGAGCTCCGTCACTCTGAGAGGCGGCGTCGAGTCGGAGGTCTCCTCTGATGTGGCGGTGTATCGAGGGTCGGTAGCATTATGTTGTCCGGTGAAACTCTGGGTCCCTCCTGAACTCCCGGTCTCTGGATATCCCGCCTTAAAGGAACTGGTACTATGTTGTAGGTCTGTTGTGTCCCCGCTGTCAGTCCTGGCGCTGCGGGTGTAGTCCTCAGTGTCCGTAGCAGAAATACCCAAGGTGGAGGGGGCCTGATGGGAGTTGGAGTCCTCTGTAAAGGTGGAGGAGGTGTGGTTGCTGGAAGAGGAGGTGACGGACAGCAGGGTCCTCTCCCCAGCGCGGCTGATGTCAGTGGAGGTGTAGGTGCTGTCGGTGTGGACGGCTGTGTGGGACGTCCAAGCATCTCCTTGTCTGAGGGTGGTGTCCGGGCTGTCCTGAGGGAGTCTGGCCTCATCTGTCATCATCTGGGAAGAAGCCTCCCAGGACACAGCGGGGGAGGCGCCTGTCACCCGGTCTGTGAGGGTGGAGTCCTTCCAGTCCCTGCTGCTGCTGCTGCCGCTGCTGCTGCCGCCGCTACTGCTGCTGCTGCCGGTGCTGCTGCCACTGGTGCCGCTGCCACTACTGCTGCTGCCGCCGGTGCTGCTGCTGCCGCTGCTGCTGCCGCCGGTGCTGCTGCCGCTGCCGCTGTGCGTGCCGGTGCTGTGCCGCCGGGCGCGACACACATACNAGACAGTCCTGTATATCAGTTGGTTCTTGGTTTTAAACCTATACCCCATGCAAACCCTGATGTAGACTTTCTCTTGTATAAATGCAATTTGTAAATTCTGCATGGGGTATAGGTTTAAAACCAAGAACCAACTGATATACAGGACTGTCTCAGAAAATTAGAATATTGTGATAAAGTTCTTTATTTTCTGTAATGCAATTA